AAGAAATGGAAAGCTTGATTAATTTAGCAGCCAGATCAATGAACCAGATAGGGAGACGACATACTAGCACTGGTACATTGTGTCCCGGTAGATGTCTATCAGACGACGGATGCAATGCGGAGACCTGAAATTAGAGCTCTCATTCTCGGTGTGCTTCTGGCTGTTGCCTTTCCCAGTTGCCACCGTTGGCTTCCGACCACGTTTCCGCACAGGCCGGGTCATAGTGCATTCAGCCCCGTAATCGATGCATGTGAGACAAGCTCGGTGACCTTCCCAGGGCATCGTCTCGGCTCCTGATGATCGGCGACACTTCAGGCCTCTGGAATGACAAAAGTCACAGGCCTGTAAAGCTCGCTGTCTTTGGGTACCTGATGATCTGCGTTGCATTTCTGTCACTCGCTTTGATTATGATGTTACAATTAAAAGCGGGAAAATAGCTTTGTCCGGCAAGAGGGCATGGCTTGGTAAATAAAGTATTTATCAGTTGCTGAAGCTTATCAATTTAGCAGCTGATAAATAGCCGCTGATAAGAGATTGAGTGGAGTACGTAATGGCCGAGCGATGTGTCTATGGAGCTAGTACCTATGTCTGTGAAGCATTTTCAGAACGGCTACACACTTAACACATACTAAAGAAAATAAAACAAATAAACAATATGGCTTTATGGATTCCAGCTATAACAATTATATATCTAGTTTAGTCCCTTTCTCTCTTCCAACAGTCTCTTGCATTGCCGATAAGGCGTCTATAATAGAGCTACCCTAGATCTAGGCAATCAGTAGTTATAGTACTCAGACGCAAACAAAGTCACCAGACTTATAAACTACTTTATCGTTATTGTTTGTCTTCAGCCATGCTTTCTGGGGATAAGGGCAGAGCAGACGTTGTTGCTCATAACTGTTGTCGTCCTTGAAAGAGTGAGGCAGTTCCGCTGGCACGGTCCCATTCTCGACCCAGGCCCGGAGTGCGTCAAACGTGTTCGTTGGCTGTCCCCCTTTGCCGCCTGAGCAATGCAGTAGCCCGGGAACTTCGAACATGCGGTAAAAGTTTGAGACTTCGGGAATGATCTCCTTCACCTTTTCGTAGTAGTGTCTTGTGCCCTTGACTGGGATAAGCTGATCGTGCTGTAACTTGTTAGCTCGGGTTGCTAGTGTGAATAAAGAAAAGGACTTACAGTTCCATGATAGCCCAAAATCTTGCCGCCCCTCTTGTAGAAGGCTCTCAGGTCAGGGTCGTTCGTCCCGATTACTGATTCGTACCGCTGAACAGCTTCGTGGGCATAAACATCAAATGCTTCTCGGCTCATATTCTTGTACGACCAGTCAGGGTTCGCTTCTATCCAGTACTTGATCCAAACCTCGCCAAGCCCCACTGGAGCTCCTTGGCAAGTCCCGTTAATGCATGTGGTCATGGCAAGTCCAATATCGTTTGTCAACTGGAGTGACTGCCCGCTGAGCTGAGCTCCCATGTTGGGGCCGTACCATATGAACTTGCCATCAGTAGTGGTCGGACCTGACCAGGTCGATTTGGCTATTTTGGCTGCCTCCTCAGTAATAGTAATGATATCAGCAGTATCGGAGCAATTGAACGATTTGCCGACGATATCCATTGGATCAAAATCACAAGCATCCTCGTTGGAGATGATTCCATCAATAATGCCATCAAGGCCATCACAGGCCTCTATGGCCTCCGCCAAGATGAAATTCATCTCGCAAGGGTACGGAAAGTAGTCTAGCTCCTGCATGATCAACTGGGGCCAAAAAGTTGTCATGAACAATTGGTTCCAGTTGATTGCCGGTGCACACGCATGTATGCCATCATAGGCTTCTGGATACCGCTGCGCAAGCATCATGCCCTGTCTCCCGCCTTGAGAACAGCCACTCCAGTACGAATACTTGGGTGCTTCGCCATAGAAGTTTTTGATCAAACCTTTAGCAATATTTGCCTAGTCTCGTTAGCATAGAAAAGGCTGGAAAGATAGGGTAAGAACATACTTGATCGCCTAGGGAGATAGAAGCGAAGTTCTGGAGGAGGGAGAGATTGGGATTGCCTTCGCCATTCAGGGCCCAAATATCAGGACCATAGTCCATTTGTAGTTGCAGCCCAGCGTCAGTCGTAGAGGTGGCATATCCCTCACCGATTGCTCCGCTCATGGCAGCATAGCTCGGCGGATATCGTCCGGCTATCCAGCCTCCTCCCCCGATGGATTGGAGTCGACCGTTGAAATTGTCAACAGGAAGCCACGTTTCAACGCGGACAGTGTCGTTCTGGCCAGGGTGACTGTATGTGACCGTGATATTGCAAAAGTCAACTTCCTCGGCGACGGTTGTTGGGTGGCCATAGTAAAGCATCGACTTGGCCTCAAAATTGTAGTTTTCGACCAACATGACAGAAAAGTCAATGACTTTCAGTCCAAAGACAATTGGCTGACTGATTGCCTGAGCTGAGCAAGAGAGAGTCATGTTTGTGTGCTTGATATACAGGGTCAAGTGTAGATTATGAGTTGTAGAAATAGGAGTATTTGTCTTTTTACTATTTATTTACTCTAAAGGCTTCTTATGTCTATTAATCTCGTGTTCCCCACAAGGATGTAAAAGCCCACTTGTGGCAATTATCCTGCCAAAAATCACATTTCTTATGCAATTCTATAGTTGTAACTTAATATTCCATATACGCGTAATCGGTAACTTATCAGATACTCGGCTCATCTAACAGTTCAGAGCCCTGATAAGAAATCCCTTTATGACAGTGGATGCAGAAAGGGAGACAATACTCGTACTCGCGTGTCCACATGGGGTGAAGACCATAAAATGTGGAGTTTAAGCCTTTTAGGGATAAAGGGTCGGAATTGGCGTATGGTTAATGACGATGAGACACATTAGTCGTCTTACTGAGCACCCCGAGTCAAGCCTAGGTTCCTCTGTGGCCTAGTGAGGATTTACACAAACAAATAATAATGGACAGCACAATAGAATGAAAAGTATGAGTTGCCTAACATTCATGTAATAATTGCTGGCAACGATATATAGTGTGCAAGAGGTGATAAGGATCATCATCGCTGTTATCAATTATTTGTACTACTATTGTTGTGTGAGCATTGAATTGGGCCATTGCAACCATTCTGCCCAGTGAAGCCCGAGATGAGCTGTAATGGATTGTATCAAGTATTGTCCGCCATCACCGAATATCCACGTAGACCCGTTCCAATGCAGCAAGACTGCAAAGAATGCAAGGATAACCAGCGCTTCTGGCTGTCGCTTCTTCAGCAATTCGAGATACTCGTCGTCAACATCGAGACAAAATGCTATCGCGGCATCGAATCGCCGTTTGTTAGGCTGATTCAGTGCTTCATGAAGAGAAAAAGACCGCTGCAGCGTGGATGCGGCGTTGTGGTATTTGGTCGCTGATGACTGGGAGGCGTTTGAGTCGATCATTCTGTGGAGGATGGCTGTGGCTTCCGTCTCCTTGTCTGGTGCGGGAAACGCGTCCTCAATTTGTTGCAATATAGGCCCAAGTCCTGAATTCTTGATAGTATGCCATGAATGTTTCGTCACAGCACGGACACCACGGTGAATATAGAGATAAGTGATGAAGCGGTCGAGAACAGCGCCAAAACTCTCTCTTGGACCTTGAAGAGTATCGCAAAGGACATGGACTCCGACAAGTGACGAGAAGAGAAACATGGGGACGGATGATTCTTCTGAAACCTCTTGCCTCTCCTCGTTGAACAAGGCCAACGCCCTTGTCTGGAGACTGGTAGCAAGTTGGTAATAAGGTTGCCGGAGGGAAGGAGGGTTGCTCAGATGGAGAGCAGAGAGGGCAAGAAGCTGATTCATCAAGTAAGGGGCTTTGAGTGCATGGTCCAATGTGTGAGAAATAATGTTCTCATTGGAGGGGTCAATTGATGTGATGGTGTGACGATTCGTCAGCAGATGATGATAGAGGGCGAAATGGTTGAGATCGAACAGGTCGCCTCTGGCTGGGATATCTCCGATTGCCGCCAAATCAGAACTAAGAGTTTCAGCAGGGCTCTGTAATATGGACGTGGGGCCCACGGGAGATTGATGAGAAGAGAGATGGAAAGGAGACGGTGTATCCACGCTTGATGTTATTTGCGGTGGTGATGGCTGCTGGCCAATGTTGATGAAGATGCATTGAGATCCACGGTTGGATATCTTGCAGTTGAGGCAAATCGGTCGAGATTCATCACACTTCATGTGTCGTTGCTTGCAGGCGCCACAGCCATTTCGAGACTTGCGGTGCGATCGGCGTGGCTTGAGGGGCTTGTCACTGTCGTTGGAAGACTTCTTGGTCTTGGAGCGGGCCATGGCAAGAAACTATCCCAGAGAGTCAATTGAATGTAAGAGTAGAGAGTATGCGAACAGGCAAAGCAAGTCTAGTTCCGTAAAGAAGGGGGATACTCGTATTCTAGTCAAGTTTGACCATGACACGTGAACAGTGGATCGGATTTGACCACGGATCCGTGAGGCTATGCTCTAACTCTCAAAAAAAAATGATTAGCGGTATCCACTGATGCACACCATCCCGGTGTCGAGTCCGTATAGAGACGACTCTGATTGGCTTTCCGTGGTATGCACTGATAACGCCCTTATTCCTCGTTTACAGACGCATATGATTGGCTTCTCGAGCTCCACCAGAGCCTGCAAGTCATTGATCCTGAATTGTCAGTTTCAGAAATAGCTTGCATTACGGTTGGAATACTAACTCAGCGACGCGGGCCCATACTCTGGAATAATTTATTTAGTGATGGCCAAGCGTTTCTTGTAAATAGTGCAGATAACTGATTAATGGATATCTTATAAGTATTGCCACACCTTTCAAATACAAGTAGCTTGCCATTTGTTTGTTCCATCCCCATCGACCGTTCAAAATCCCATTATCACGATTAAAGATTTCCGTCTATCTACAAACTCGGAACCGCTATAGTCCCGACCAAGCCATACGCCAATCTCACATCTTCTGAGTTTCCAGAGAGCACAATGTCCACCGAGGGTCTCTTCAAGCCGGTCCCCGGAGTTGAACCTACCAAAGGCGGCGCCTACCTCTGGCGCTACAGCCCCAGCGTACCTGCGGCAGCCATATTCTTGGTACTCTTTATGGCTTCCTTTCTCTGCATATCCTGGAAGATCTGGAAGACACGTACTTATTTTTGCATTGTGTTTGCCATCGGTTGCTTTTGTAAGCCGCCACCACCTCCCCTCCATTGTATCCTGTCTGCTAACTTTGCACCACAGTCGAGATGGTCGGGTATGGCGTCCGCGCAGGCGCACACAGCAAAACAAACAAAATCATGCCATATGCCGTTCAGAACATGTTCATCCTTATTGCCCCCGCCCTCTTCGCTGCCTCGATTTACATGGTCCTCGGTCGAATTATCAGAGGTCTCAACGCCGATAAACACTCTCTTCTCAAACCAACAAAGTTAACAAGGACCTTTGTACTTGGAGATGTACTGTCCTTCATGATCCAAGGCGGCGGCGCCGGCATGTCAGTTGTACAAAACGCAAGTCTAAGTAAATGGGCTGAAAGGATTGTCATACTCGGACTTGTGGTCCAGATTGTCATCTTCGGTCTATTCTGCGCCGTGTCCTTGGTCTTCCACCGCCGTATGATCCGCGAACCAACAGCCGAGTCGATCGGAACTATTATGCCCTGGGAATCAACTCTTTATATGCTTTACGCTGTCAGCCTTCTTGTCATGATCCGATCAATCTTTCGAATCATTGAATATGCTCAGGGTTATACTGGGTACTCTCTTTCACACGAGTGGACGCTGTATATATTCGACACTTTGTTGATGTGGCTAGTAACGGTTATCTATATCTGGCGATACCCAGATGGGCTTAATGTTAACGCTGGCCACGTCCGCTGTAACAGCACGCTTCTGGAAGAAGTCCACAACAATAAGTAATGATAGAATAGGGAACAAAGCATTTCCAGGCTGGTTAAGGCGCGCGACAGGCCCCAACTATATTGAGCCTATATAAAAATCGATCGCTATATGAGTCATTTCCATAATTGAGCAAGATACAAAGAACAGAGTGGTATTTCAGGAAGGGTTGAAGAACTTTATACTAAGAAAGGATGTGTTCAAATTCCGCCTAAAGGTTAAGCTTTAGGCTACGAGCACAGGTGATGAATGAGAACAAGATTATGTTAAGAAAACGCGTTGCCAGTCGCCTCAGATAGTGAGATCTCAGATACCTTCGCTCATGAGGCACACAAGCCGACCAGTCCAACCATAGACCATATACAATACTTCACGTGAGAATGTGAACCGCGCACGCCTCAGGTGTCAGGCAATCATGCACTGTCTTAGTCCTTGTGCTCGGGAACGGCCGCAAAGGCTGCCTCCTTCTCGTCGAGAGTCTTTTGATAGACGGCACTGTGGGCGAATTCTGCAAAAGGACATATAGTAAGTGCTGACATTTTACCATCTCAAGATAGTTAGACATACCATCAACAGAAGTCGTTTCGAACTTTCTGGCTGGAACTCGCTGCTCGAACAACAAGTCCAGCTCACCAAATAAGCGACCCTTACTTTCTGGCTATAAGACTATCAGTATTATAATATAGCGGCAGAAGTTAAGAGGCAGACTTATTAAGCAAAAGAAGTATTATACGAAATAGAGAGTATTTATTTCTATATAAAATAAACTAACTTTAGTACCTTAATTCTATATTAGCTTTATTATTAGCCTAATATAATATATATTTAAGATAGATAGAAAAAGAATATATAGCTAAAAGAGAGCATTCTAGGCATAATAGAATTTACAATCAGGCCGGCAATATTATAACAAAATCGGCCAATGGCAATAGTCTTGTAACGCAGACGACCAGAAGGCGTTTCGGCAACAATCGGGTAGCAAGTTGCACCCATGAAAATAGTGTTGACGAGGGTACAGATGATGAGAAGAATGCCGATCACCATCTTTGTAGAGTGACTCAGAGAGAATCCGAGACCGCCAATCTGGAATTGTCGACGTTAGCAAGTCTGGACGATCCTGCGCATTGCGTTTGCGGAAGTGAGCGATGAGGGTCGGGATAACCTACAACTAGCTGAATGATCAACATGCCAGCCAGACCAGTCCTGTAGATTGTGCGCCTTCCGAAATTCGGCATGAGGGAGAAGCAGATCAGAGGACCGATCAAAAAACAGGCATTGACACACATGTTCGGGTCAAAAGTGGCATTGGTGGAGAATCCGGCTGCTTCCAAGAAGACGACGGCATAACTCGTGAGAGGGTTTCCATCAAAGACTTAATAGGTCCAAGTCATAATATTCTGATACGTCAGTTCGGAGTGTTCCAGTCAGACTAGGCCGGACCTATATTAACTTACGATCTCGGTGCGTCATAGGTTTGTTCCGCGGAAACAGTTAAAGAAGCTTGCTTCTTTGACCTCGAGCTTCTCAATGTCGGTGGTATGCTGGATATATGCTAGAGTCACATCGATATTATCTTTAGTATAGGTTTTAGCTAATTGTAGGCAAATATTTATATTAATATTTTTTAATAAATTTAATAGCTATATATTATATTTAAAATTTATTATTTTAATAAATTATTAATTATATTTTAATTAAAAATTTAATTTAATTTAATTTCTTTTTTAGCTTTAACTTTATTATTAAAAAGGGCTTTTAATGTTATAACCCTTACAGTTATATTATATATACCCTATAATTTTCCCTATAAACCCTACTAATTATATATAGACTAAATAAACCCTTTTTAATTTATTTAATATAACTAGTTAAAATAGAATTAAAACCTTATAATATTAATTTAAAACTAAAGGATTAATATCTTAATTCTTAATAAAAATACTAATAAATACCTTATAAATAGTAGTTATAATAGTTATAATTTCAAATAGGGAAACTAGTCCATATTAGGTTTATATTTACAGAATATATAAGGCATTAAACTAAATATATTAATAAAGTATTACATCTCTTAATAGTTAATAATACAGGTAAGGCTTATTAAGGTAAAGAAATATTATTAATAGCTAATAAGCTAAGTTCTATTTACTGCTAAATAAATATATATATATATTATAGTAATTATAAGAAAGCAATATAATATAAGGTTATTATCAGTCCTAAAGCAATACAGTCTTAAAGCGCTATTAGTCTTAATCTTATTAATCCTTATTTAATTAGCCTTCTAGATAGACTTAAGGTAAAGTTTTTATAGGGTATATATAATATAACCGCTAAGGTTATAATATAATCTCTCTTCTCTAACAGTCTTATCCTTAAGGCCTATTATTCTAATTAATATTAGTCTTTTTTTAATAGGTCTTAACTTAAACCTTTTACTATTATATTCTATAATATCTAATTATATATCTAAATAGTTATTCTATAAGGACTGTAAAATCTAAATACTTATATTATCTATTAAGTTTTTTAATAAAAAGGCTAATATATCTTATACTTATTGTTTTTAAATAGGCAAAAAATGCCTAATATTTGCTAACTCTATTTACTATAGTAAGTATATTTAGATTAAAAAATCTTATAATAATATCTATATTGCCTTTTTTTATAAGCTCTCTTTTTTTATTAAGCTTTACCTTACTAATTATAATAGTTATAAATTTAATAAAATAAAAAAAGAAATTAAAAAATAATAAAAATAAAATAAGTAAAGATCTCTTTAAGCTTTATAAAGAAATAGCAGCCCTATAATCTTATTTAGCTCTAGCTACTAGTTATTTATTATAAATTTATAAGATTTAAAGTTATATAAAGAAAAAGCATTTAAAGGCTATCTATTATAGTCTTTAAAAAGTAAATTAATAAAATATAATCTTATCTAGCCTAGATATATATAAGGATATATTACTTTATAATCTTTAGGTAAATTACATTTCTAATAATATTAATTAATCCTCTTTAGGTTTAAGTAATAATTTCCTTAATATTTCTCTTTTATTTAAGTTTAATAAAAATTCTTTAGGAATTACTAAATATTAATAAAGTATTTTAGAGGTTTTTATATATTTTTACTTTTTAAATAGTCTTTCTATTTAATTAAGTATTCTCTTTTATTATTTATTATATATATTTTTTTAATTGCTTTTACTTTATAGGTTTCTAATCTATTAATTTCTTTTAGTTTATTGCCAATCTTAATATAGATTATATTAGCTACTGGTTTTAGTAATATAATATAAAAAATCTTATAAAGCCTAACTTTTATTAATAGATTTAACTTATAGTTATTTTTTAAGATCTTTTTAGTAATTTTATAAAATCTAATATATTTAAAATTAAGTTTATAATTTAATTATTTTATAGTAATATTTTTAGTAAATAAATATACTATATCTCCTTTCTTAAAGATTAATCCCTTTAATCTTTTAAGGTTATAATACCTCTATATCTATTTATTAATAAATTCTAGTTCTATTTAGAGTTTATTATATATATTTTTTAGATCCTCACTTTTAATTATAGCTACTAGATTAATAATTTCAGTCTAATATATATTATAATATACTACTAAAATATAGCTAAAATTGGCATTAAATAATATAAGTTTTATACTTTTATTATAGGCAGTATTATAGGCCAATTAAGTATATAATAGCTTTTTAACCTAATTATTTTATTTATAGTTAATATAATACTATAGGTATTATTTTATTATTTAGTTTATCTATTCTATTTAACTATCTACTTAAGGTCTAAATACTATTATAAGTTTATAATTAATTTCTATATATACTATTAAGGTTTTTTAAAACTTACTAATAAAAGTAATACCTCTATCTATTAAGATTTCCTTAGGCACTTCTCTTTTTTATATTACCTTATTATAAAAAATATAGGCTAAGACTTCTATATCTATTACCTCTTTATAGGGTATATAGATTAAAAACTTTATAAGTCTTTTAATAATAACTAAAATACTATTATAGTAAATTCCAGTTAAAAGTTCCTCTAATAGCAGTAATTTAATAATAAAATCTATTATAATTAAGCTCTATAGTGCTTCTATAACTTTAAGTAATTATAGTTCTCTATAAGGTTTATATCTATATACTTTTATTTATATAGAGATATTGCATTATTTAATTACCTTCTTAACTGTTTTTTATAGCACTTTATATTTTTATTATAGAAGTTATTTAAATATTTTTATTACTTTTTAGTATTTATATATTAAGTATATATAGAATTCTTATATAAATTCTTTTAGTTTTTTTAGGATTTCTTTAGTTATTTCTATTTATATCTATTTTAAGGTTTTTATCTATTAGATAAATATATATTCTCCTTTATTATTTCTTTTTAATATTTATTTATTTACTTTTACTATACTAATATTATAGTTTAGTTATTAATTAATTATATTTACTTTTCTATTTTTTATTTTCTTATAGTAAATAATAATAAAATTAAATTTATATAAATATTTTATATAATATAGTTATTTTTAATTAAGTTTATATATTATAATAAAATAAGAGATATTTTAATAAGTTATATATATCTTAATTTTATATTTACTTTTTATAAGGTAATATCTAAATTCTTTAAAGTAGTTAATAATTACTAGAAATTCCTTATTATAAATAAAATAATATAGCTTTACTTTATATAACTTATAAAAGTAAAATATAATAAGGTATAATTATCTTTAATTATCTTATTGCCTAATCTATCCTTTTAATATAAAATCTAATATATCTATTTTTAATTTAATTCCTTTTTTAGAATTAAATATTCTTAAGACTAATTTACTAAAAATAGCTCCTTTAAGCTATTTAAAGGCTGCCTAAGCTTTATTATTCTATTTAAATAGTTTATCCTTCTTTATAAGTTTTATTAATAGGTTTATAATCTTATTAAAGCCCTTAATAAATTATTAGTAATAGTTAGTAAATCCTAAAAATATTTATATCTCCTTAATATTATTAAGGGTTTTCTATTCTACTACTATTAAGATTTTCTTTTATTTTATCCTAATTTCTCTAAATATAATAATATATTTTAAAAAGTCTATTTTTTTAATATAAAAGAAACTTTGTTTTAGTTTAACTAATAGTTTAGTATTTTATAATACTTTTAAGACCTTATAGATATATTCTATATATTCTTTTTTATTATTTAAAAAAATTAAGATATTATTTAGGTAGTATACTATAAAGATATTAAGGTATTATTATAGTATATTATTAATTATCTATTAAAATATTATAAATATATTAATAAGACTAAAAGGCATAATTATATATTTATAGAGTCTTAATTTTACTTTAAATGCCATTTTCTATTTATTTCCTTCTTTAATATAAATAAGGTTATATACTCCTTTTAGATTTAAGGCTATAAAGATCTATTTACCTTATAGTCAATCTTTAAGTTTTATTATAAGTAAAAGTAAGGTTTAGTCCTTAATAGTATATATATTTAATAGTTAGTAGTTAATTACTAGCTAATTCCTTTTATTTTTTTTAGATATAAAGAATATTATTAATATTAATAATAAGTTAGATATCTTAATATATCCTTTCTTAAATATTTTATTAATATATTCTTTCTATTTTTATAATTCTTATTAATTTAATATATAGAGCTTTTATATTAATAGGTTTTTATTTATTAGGTTAATTTTATAGTCCTATTTATTATATTTAGGGATTTCTATCTTTAGTTCTTTACTAAATAGTTTATTATAAATTTAATATTCTTTTAGAATGTTTTTAAGTTAATCCTAGCTATTTCTTATATTAGGTTTATCCTTTTATAAATCTTATTTTTTAAAGAGGCCTAGGATTTTTAATTTTTATTTTATATCTATTTTATACCTATATTATACTCCTTTTAGAGGTAGTAAATACTATATTCTATACTTACCTATACTATCCTTTTTAGTTTAGATATAAGATCTTTTATTATTTATTATAATTATTATTATATTACTTTTAGGGTTATTAAAGAATATAACCTAGCCATTCCTTTAGTTAATATATAGATTTTCTTATTTAAGCTATAATATATTAAGAAATATATCTATCCTTTTTCTTAATAAAATAATATTATAGCTTATATTCTAACTTCTCCTTTAAATATCTACCTTAAGATAATTAGTCTTTTAGTCTAT